TCTCTGCCTAGCAACAAGCCTGAAGGCAACACCTTGGTGATCTAGTAGCCACCGCATAAACAAAATTGACATGCTATGAAAAATTAAAAATTCCAGCAGTTTCTGTTGTGTTATCGTTGTGAGCACAAATACCGTGAAAAAGAGCAAAAATATTATTGTTTTACTATAAAATACAAATTGGTTTCGAAAGGAATACATACAGTGCGTTAAAATGCCTTTTCATGCGGTGGTGACTATGGAAAAACCGTTGCAGCACATTTCCCTGGCTGACTGGAATGCACGAGTGGCTCGTCTGCGAAATGTGGCCGATTCCCGTCGTGCTGACGCCTTCGCCTTGCGTCATTCCTCTCGTACGCTCCGGAATGAGACGCGCATCGAGGGTGACTGGGCGAACTATGAAACGAATGAGGCGTTGACTGATCGGTGAGTTGAGCGAATCCTTGTAGACCCTGCCACTGACTTTTGTGTGTGATAGCATTGCACAGCTGAATAGCTGGCGCGAGGTTATCTCCAAGACTTTTGAGCGTATTGAACTTGAAATTAAATCGCTGCAAGAGGAAAAAGCTTTGACGGAGCGTGAGCTGGACGCACTGACTGCGCCCATATCTGTAATAAGCGAGGTGCTCACCATGCGTGATAGCCGCATCGGCTCCGAGATGACATATGATGAGCCGGACAAGGAGATCAAGAACGAGTTGTTCGTTTTGGAGAATAATCAGCGATTGTTAGCGGACCGTTGTCAGAAGGCATGGGAGAAGTTGACACGCTTGGAGGAGGTGCGTTACAAAATTGGCATGGAGATTGAGAACAAAATAGAGGCGGTGGATCTTGACAATGTGCAACTAGCGTTAGACCGTAATTCAGCCACATTGTCCTATAAGCCGGATCCCTTGCGTAATCCCAAAAAGTAAGACCATGTATCAGATTTTGCCTTCTGGATTAACTTTGAATGTTTGCAGCTGTTGCTCCTATGAAGCCTGGCTGGGTCATGTGAAGAACATGAAACAGCTGGCCGAGAATGAGCTGGCTGATACTTCAGCTATACGTGAGGCGCTCTTCGTGTGCCGTGAGAAGGCCCGTAACATGTTGCAGGCGCAGCAGGAGCGTGCAGAGCACACCATACGTAAGCGCATCTTTGAGACTCAGCGGGCGCGTAACGAGCTGGAATGGCAGCAGCTCAAGATGAAGGAAGAAATGGAGAGTGCTGTGTGCGAGATAAAGACGCTGGAGGATGCGCTGCGTGACAAGTCGGATTCATTGAAGCTGGCTGAGACGCGTCTGGAGAATCGGGCACAGCGTAGTGGCATGGAGCTGTGCCTGGACCATGCACATGATCTGCTCTGCACGGAGGTTGAGAAGTTACGCGAAATACGTCGTTCACTCAAGGCTAAGATCGATGACGCCAAGGCCAATTTCAATTTGCTATCGGATCATGCCCAGAAGATCGATGTGGATCTAGAAAACAAGCAACACTCGTTAATGACGGACATTCGTGCCCTGGACTTGCGTCTGCGTCTTAAGGGCGGCGAGTATGGACTGAAGGTGACGAATCCAAGTGCCCAGACGGATCGCAATATTGTACTCACTCGCATGGAGCAGGAGATACCCAAGTCCTGAAACTGCTAATGATGTTTTCAATGTATTTCCATGTCTTGTCTAAATTCTTGTGCTGAAATCTGGATTTTTATTTGCTTTCTTCGCGATTTGCTTGCAGCGAAAAATTGAAACTCAACTCGCCTAGCAGCGGTCTGAACGTAGTACTCCAGTGAAGGTGGGTTTGGTTATCCGTTTGGCTGGTGAAGTGCACGCCCTGACGCACAAACATATCCCACTTGACGAATTGACCGGGCACAACGGGTTCAAGAGGTCCACTGCTGACAATTGATTTGGAGCTGTTGCTCGCCGCAAGCTGCCAGTCCACCCACAACGCAACGCCATTGCAGTTTCCTTTGCTGGAAACGGCACAGAGATAAGGGCATGGACTATTTTATATCAGCTTGTTAGGCCAACTCACGTTGTTAGCTCCAAACACCCCTGGTTATGCTGTTCTACGCCAAAGTTGGCAAAGTTGACGCTGAGTAGCTGCTGCGGCTCTGCAAGAGCACGGCAAGGGTATTCCCAGAGCGGTTGCGCCTCCACCTGAGACAGGGCCTGTTTCGCTGAACGCTGAAATGGATACATAATTTTATTTGTTAAAGAGATGACCAGTCAACTATTTTAAACTACTGCTGACCTGCACCATTTCGTCGAAGAGCGTCAGATCAAAACCCTCGCAGTTAATAATGGGCGTGCGTATCTTATGCAGATCCAGAAATTGCACGGGCAGCGCATAAATGCGAGCCGCACACGGCGAGATTTCCACAGACTCCGGCAGTTTCTGCTGTTGCTGCAGCTGCAGCAGCAATGTGCCAAAGTAAAAGTTATCCCACGGCAGAATAGCATTCAGAAAATATGGTTCGGCGAATATGTGTGTTAGAGTTTTTAGTTCCTCAGGCTCCAGCTGTTGCAGGTTCTCCAGAAATCTGACGTTCTTCAATTTATTGTGCTTGGAAACTGACTCGAGCAGGCGGCGCGAGAAACGATGGGGTTCCAGGCAACGCACACTGCCGGCACCCAAGGCAGAGCTGGCAAGTCCGAGCAGGCAGCCATCGCCCATGACCAGTACGTGTGCAGGTTTTGCCTGCTGCACTGCCTGCTCCAGGTAGGCCAGGTAGCGCTTGTTTCTAGTGCCCTGATTAAGCTGGCCGATGCGATTGCGGGTGTAGGTCATGTGCAGGTCACAGCTGCAGCTATGACGCCGCGCCGGCTGCTCGGGCTGTTCCTTGTGTGCGTCAAACCACAGCGAATACTCGTCATGGTAGCATCTTAGCCAGAATTGTTCGCCAGCCTGCTGCAGCTGCAGCGGTTTAGGTATGTAGTATATGGCCTGCATCCAATGATCTCGCCAGGGCACAATATTGGGCAGCGGCTGCTCTGCATTTTTACAATTTTTCTGCAGTTGGTGCAGCTCCGGATGGGCCCAATAGGGTGCACAGCTCAGGAGCTGCTCACCGGCATCGTCCAGCTCGATTTGCCACCAGTAGAAGACTAGCTCAACGCTGCCCGGCTTGCTTAGCTGCAGGCGTAGCACATGCTCCCGCTGTTGCTCGCGCGGCTGCTTGCGCTGAAAGTCAAACTGGAAGATCTGTGCGGGCTCAGTAAGAGTGTGAAATGAATTGGGTGGGAGCTGGGAGAGCTGCACATCGTGCAGAGCGGCCTCGCCGTTGCACTCGAGCAGTTGCGCTGGTGGACGCAGCAAAATATCGCCATCCAGATTGGGCAGAACCTTTAAACTGTTCCATTGCGCCGCCAGCGGCGATTGAGCCACCTGAGCATAGCAAGTGGCACGTGCGGGTATGCACAGGGCATCCTCGGTGAGGAGCTCCTGGTGCGCATGATTATAAATGCCAATTGCACCCTCGCCAATCAGTTCAGTGTCCAGCAGCTCGGCCACCAGCAAATTGGCTCTGTGCGGCATATCGATGCCCATTTGAATGTCCGTCGAGCGTTTGCGTATGAGCCTCACCTGTGCGGCATCATTCGAAGCTAGAATGCGTGCCGCACAGTTTGCCATCGGCATGAAGGCCTCACAGGCTGTCACGGTATCGGCGCCAGCCCGCAGCGCCATCATTGCTAATATGCCAGTGCCGGTACCAATGTCCAGCACATGGACTTGTTTACCCGCCTGGCGCATGGCTGCGATTGTCTTCCGCAATGCTGCATAGTACTTCTGGTTGCGTTCCCAGTCGTGCAGCATGTCACCAAAGCCGGCATTTGCCACCTCCTGATGGTAGTCGTAGTCATCGCCGCGCTCATGCCATGTGTTTTGGCCAGTCATCGGGTTGATTACTTGTGAAAAGCTGGCCATTAATCGTGTGTGCTGCAATGTCAAACGAAGAATTTTCTGCATCGAAATAGAATGTTTTATCTATACTATGTTTCCGTTTATACGACTATATTGTTTTAAAAATATTCACACACGGTTTTGCTGCGTACAATCCCGCCACAGGTCACATTTCCATCTAAAACAGTTTACTACAACAACAGAAAGTTAAGGTTAACATGTTCTGTTAAGTTTCGCATATATCGATATATCGATAAGTGTCGAACAATGCCAAGCTGGTTGTACGACAAGAAACCGTTCAATTTTGTATTTCAAAAATAATGTGCAATTATTCTCTGTTAAAAATAATGTCGTCTATAAATAAAATATATAATCTTCAACATTTAAAATGTGTTTTATTATAGCGATTCTTAGAGATACATTCGAAAATTGAGTAGTTTAAAATTGTTGATCAAGTCTCCGTCGAACACCCGATATAAGCTTCACACGCTGCTCTAAGTTAAGATATTTCATAGGCGTCTGCGGTTCACGGCCGTAGCTCATATCCTTGCCTATACAGTTCAAGCTTAACATCCTTGGAACGGTATAGTATTTACTGCAACAACTGACTATGGTCATAGAAGCTGGAGTATTATTGCTCAACCTAATATTGTAAGCTGGCCAGTGATCAATCAGATAGTCCAGAACAGTAAGCCCCAGAATAATCACTATAATGTAGCCTATATCGATCTGCATAAATGACAGTGGGCTTTCCATTGGATGAGAAGTGCTGACGGTTCGGATTTCCAAGAACGAATGATGTTAGTAGTCAAAGGTGTGTCCTTTTATACACATTGCAGGTAAAATAATTTATTTATCACTATTTGTGAGGTAAAGGGTGTGCCAGGTGGCTGCGATACCTGTTAAAGGGATCGACAAGTGTAAAAATGCTCATAAAATATTAATCTGTTTGTATTGGTTAAATTAACAACAAGTACTGAACATATTTGTATATAAATCCACTTATAATCAACGGGGACTTTGCTGAGCAAAGAAATAATTATGCTGATAAGCTTCAATTTTTGCTATAAAAAGCTCGCTCATAGCAGATTTTTTTCAGTTTTGAGAGATTCATTAATCAATCGTAACTACAAAAATGCTGCTCAAAATTATATGCACAATATTTGTTGTACAAGTATCAATGAATAGGTGTGAAGAGAATAATGTACATAATCTTGGGAAACTAGGCAATTTAACAATTAAATATGGAAAAACGGCGGAAATACATTTTCAAATTATAGACCCTAGCAGCAAGTTGCTGCAATCAAAGATCGAAGCATTGCAGTAAGTATTCCAGCTTAATTTTTTATGTAAAATCCAATATCAAAATAGCACATATTTTTAGACTTGAACAGTCGAAACAATTCGCTGAACTCACTGCGAAATTTGACAAGTTGCTGTTGAGCAACTTGCAGCCAGCTCAATTTCCGGGGAGTTGTGCGGAGGCTGGAGCACTGAGTCGGCGTAGTGGAGTTTATCAGATTGTCATACCAGCCTATAGTGTGCATCCGTTTTTAGTTAGTTGTGATGAGGATACACAGAATGGCGGCTGGACTGTCATTCTGCGGCGTGAGGATGGAAGTGTTAATTTCTCTCGCTATTGGAATGAATATAAGCATAGTTTTGGAAACGTCAATGGCGAGTTCTTTATAGGCTTGGATAAACTGCACGCTATGACCAAAGACCTGAACCAAGAACTGCTCATAGCCATGGAAGACTTTGCTGGCCAAAAGAAGTTTGCAAAATATGAACGATTTGCGATCGGAAGTGAGACAAATTTCTATGCTTTGAGTACATTGGGTGAATACTCTGGAGATGCTGGAGATTCTTTGAGTGGTCATCTAGGAAACAACTTTTCAGCACGCGATAAGGATAACGATCAATATGAAGGCAACTGTGCTGAAATGTATACAGGCGGCTGGTGGTACAACAAATGTCATACAAGGTTGGTATCTCCTTGATATCCAAAAACCGGCATACATATTAATATTTTATTTTTAGTAACCTAATGGGAAAATATAATGAGTCCACATATGGAAAAGGCATTAATTGGCTTCTATTTTCGGGTCATAATGCCTCATTGAAAAATGTGCAAATGATGATAAGACATATAAGATGAATCAAAAGGAGAATTGTGAGACCAGTTTTTAATATAAAATGTATATAGTAGTAAACTTAAATAAATATTATAGAATTTCTAAAAATACTATATGTATTACACAAATGTGTGTGCATTTTGAAAAGATGATAACGGCAGATTTTAAATAAACATCTGGGAATTTTGACTGGGGTATACATATTCCTTATCAGCACTGCTTTGGTAAAGCTATTGCCATATTTAAATTCATTCGCTCACCATTAAGTTTATTTAGTCTTGTGCGCTCTGTGCTGCTTTTAAATACATATTCGTGTTTATTTCGCAGAATGTTGCTGAAAATAATTTGCACAGTATATTTATTAAATATGCCGGTGCTCAAATGTGAAAACGAGAATGTGGAAAACTTCACAGTCAAATATGGCAATTTAACCGAAGTACTTTTTCAAATAAAAGATAACAAAATCCACTTGCAGCACTTACAGCTGGAAGTGTTAAGGTTAGCTTTTGTATACAGTTCGTTTTTAAAAGTTTTAAAGTCCCAAAATCACACAGAATGGAACAAATGCGTCAGGGTGCATTACTTGATGAGCTTGTTGCCAAATTGAAATCATTGGAGCCAACACAGTTTACCGGCAGCTGTGCAGAGGCGGCGGCTTTGAGTCGTCGGAGTGGCGTTTATCAGATTCTCGTACCTGGCTATAGTTTGCATCCGTTTATAGTTAGATGCGATGAGGATACACAGGGTGGAGCATGGACCACGGTCTTGAGGCGTGAGGATGGCAGCGTGGATTTCTTTCGGTTTTGGAAGGACTATAAAAATGGATTTGGCAATGCTATAGGCGAGTTTTTTATAGGGCTCGACAAACTGCATTTCATGACCAAAGTACTGGACCAAGAATTACTCATAACCATGGAGGACTTCAAGGGACAACATAGGTTTGCCAAGTATGATCGTTTTGCAATAGACAACGAAAATGAAGCCTATAAAATGAAAACATTGGGCACATACTCCGGAGATGCAACCGACTGTTTGAGAGAACATGCGGGGCAAAAGTTTTCGTCACGAGATCGTGATAACGATCAGCATATAGAAAACTGTGCTGAAAAGTTCACAGGTGGCTGGTGGTACAACAGGTGCCATGTAAGGTGAGTTGTCATCACTATATGTACAGAAAAGTGTTTGTCTTGAGTGACGGACGCTCAGCCGTAAGAGCTTGGACCACGCAAGGCTGGAATATAACAGCTAGTTAAATGTTTAAAAATATAAGCTACAACGGAACGAATATAAAATACAATTCATTATATATATATTGACTATGCATCTGCGACGCTTTATGGATCAGCGATAGTATTTAATTCTTATATATATATATGTATATATTTTACAGCAACCTGATGGGCGTATATAATGACAGCACGTTTGGAAAAGGCATCAATTGGCGGGACTTTACGAGTCACACAGCGTCATTAAAACGTGTGCAAATGATGATAAGACCGAGAAGGTATTAGGCATACTCGATCTCTTTTCAGTCTCTTTTAATATAAAAGCTATAAACAAACAATAAATTTGTGTATACAAATATAATATTTTGGCTTGGGATATTCATGACAAATTGATGGAATCGATAGCAGCACATTAGGTAATTAATCGTACGGAAGGGCAACGAAATCAAGGAAAACCATATTCAGTTTTGAGCTGTAGCCCGTGCAAGATGGATCGAAAGCGACTTCTGCAGTGGTACCACAAATACGCTCTACTCCTGGGCGTTACCTCGTGCAGGCAGATTCCCTCAGACCTGGCTAACACGGCGCTATGCGCTGTTTATGAATACTTTTGAGATTTTAACATTGCCACTGGTATTCTGGTTGGCGGCACGATACCTTCAGCTGGTCAGGTGATGGCCGAATTTTATCACATCCAGCAGCTATATACTGAACTCGGTAGCCTATGTTACCATAGTCTATACTGTAATATCGCGTGGCAGACGGGACAAATTTCTGGTGGATGTGGAGCGTATTGTGGCTAAGGTGGAGCGAAATGCTTTGATCAACGGAAATATATTGGACGCTCTCTGAGCTACATTTTTTACCTCAAATTTGGAAAAGTGCTGTACCAATGTTTGGCCGGCTGGGTGATGACCTTAATGGATGAAAGGCTTTAATAGGCATCGATATTTTCAGGTTCTGTGGATCTTAACATGTAGCTATCAGTATGTAAATTGCCACCTGAAGGAAATAATTCGATCAGCGCATGCAAGAAAGCCAACTAGCGTTCACCTGGCCGAGTTGCATAAGCTGTGGGCTCTGCACGCCTTGCTGGGACGCTGCACTCTGTGCCTGGACAGGATTTACGGATTGATGATGGTGGCAGCGCGCTTCGTCAATTACATCCTAGCGCGTTCAATTGGTATTGGGGTATGCTCTTCTACTTTGGCATTGATTCTTCATTATATCTGCTCGTTTATGGCACATTCAACTTTTGGATACGTCTGATTGACTTTTTCCTATTGGATAACATGTGTTATCTGGCGATTAAGTACCACAGCTCTCCTCATGATGCCGTGAGTGAGGGTTATTGGTTTTAGGAGGTAGCTGAAAAGACGTTATCCAATGTGTGCTATATATTAATTATTTGTGTATTGTTGCAGCTGCATGTCTATTTTATGCAAGTACTTCGAGGATAAGTTTTTCGGTTTGTGGCCTCTATAAAGCGAGCAGAAAATTCTGGTTCCAAATGCTGGGCGCCATTGTGGTCTATTCCATACTGTTGCTGCAAAATTATCTGGTAATGAGAGACAGTTATAAACTTTAGAGCAAATAATTGTTGAATGTCCTCTAACTAACATATTTATTTAAGTTTTAGCATTTGTTTTGTTAAACAAACAATAACTCACAATTCTTTTGTGGACTTGAAATACCCTTAGACTTATTGAGTTGAGATTGCTCTCCATTGCCATTTGGCTCCCTAAACACCCATTAATAGTTTTTCCGCTACAAGTGAATTGAGGAAAACGCTAAGAAAATTGCTATTGTGGAAATTTCACGCTCACGTTTTGCTTTACTGCGATATTTACAATATTTTTATTTTTATTTTTTAGCATCAGGCACTACAACAAAAACAATAAAGGGTACCGGGGCGGTGTAGGAGCCAATAATTTCCTGCTCGATAATTTCCAAATGAATGCGTTTCGCAAATAAATTTTCCTTTGACAGCAGCAAAGCGTTGAAATTTTAAAACGAAATCACGTTTTGCTGTTGCATACTTTTTGGCGTATGCACATCTGCTCAGCAAGTACGTGAGAAAAGTTATGTTATACACACAAACACAAACTTATGTACATACTATTTATACACATTTGTATATATGCTATGTTCTGTTTTGGCTGAGACACAGGTGAGCAACGGTGTGGCATAAATAAAATGAAATAAAATAAATCACAACATAATTTCCGCAACAAATTCGTTTTTACAAAGCGCCGCATGCAAATCTAATTTCTTTCGTTATCGAACGTGTCCAAATTATGTTCATGGAATTTTTAACTCTTCTTACCAGACCAACTCTTAAATTGAAAGCTTGGTTTTTTTTGTACCTTCTTTTGAGGTTAGTGTATTTTTGGAACTAGTTCTTTTTGTTTGTATGACCATTTTTTCAGACTGTTCGTAGGGGCTAGTCTCTTCTTGTTAGAGCTTATTGCGATGTTTGGCATATCTTTGGAACACGTTCCTTACAATATTCCCTAGTTCATTGAATGCTTAGTGCGTTTTGTTGGACTGTACTGTGAGGCTAGCGTAGTTTTGGAACTAGTTATGTTCTTGTACAGACTGAGGTGTTTTTCGTTTGTGTTAAGTAAGTTCTTACTTAACAGATAGAATCGGATTGAAAATCTACTAAAATCCATTTAAATTAGCATTCACATGTCAACACAATTATGTTGGATAACAAGGGCAACGATTTATGTGCACGTGAAGAGGGCTCAAGTTACACAATGCATACGCACTCGCACACATATACACACACACACACACCCACGTACCGGATGCGGTGCTTTTGGGTGGAAGGCGTAGCCCGGAGCTTGGCAATTGTCAAAATTGCCGCCATAATTCACGTGTTGCCAGCAGCAGAAACAACAACAGCAACAACAACAAAGTCAGCATCGTCATTCAATTGAAGCAAATGCTCAAAATGCAAATTACGCAATGATTTACATTTCGATTGACATATTTTAGGCGAACTGTTTGTAGGACTGCACCCTCTGGTGGATCCACCCTTTGCTTGTCGCCCCATGCATTGGCAGTAATTCAAAAATATCACCAACATCTTATCAATCCCAAAAATTGATGTCTCTGACGTGCGTTGACAGACAAATGCGTACATGTCGCATGAATATTGACTCCTATCTGAATCGGCCTAAAATTGAGCCAGCTTTTATATTAACCACGCCTTTAGAGAATTTTAAAGGCGTTGCCTATCTTTGTTATAAAAAATCTTTGTACTTTGTACAAATTTAATACCTTTGTGGCGGGTATTATAATTTTATCATGCGATGTGTAACGCAAAGATGAACGAATCACATATATAAATTCTTAATTAGTGATTCGATATATCCGTGTCCATCTTTATGTTTATATGTAAACAGTAAGGATCGGTCGACTATTCTTGCATGAAAGAACATTTTTGGTGTCCTAGATATCATGAAAAAACATATCATATGGCTATATCATATGGACTTATAGAAAACCTTCCCGTTTTTTTTCAATATATCGTAAGCAAACTCTGCGAGGATATTAAAACTTCGACGGCTCTTTCTCGTTTTTGTGCGTCCAGCGTTGGCCAGGCAGTCGTCATTAGTCAGGGTTTCTTATTGGCGGGTTCGCAGATAGCACGACATCCAGGCATCATAAAATGCTGAAAGGACATAAGCGCGTTATTATATTATGAATTTGAAAGGCGAAGTGGAGCTGGGGCGGGGCCTCTTGAATGCAGAAGCCAAGAATGCGAGCCAGCACAATGGCCGACCTGGTCGGACCTCAATGGTAACGCCGCGACATTTTGAATAGCCCACAGCTGGTGGCCAAGCCGTGACCGGGTGCGGTCATCAATGCAACGTGGAGTCAAGCGTAAGAGCATTCTGAATGGCTTGACTTGCATTTTGTCGTCCTGGACGTTGTCCTGCGCATAAATTCAAAAATAACAATATAGCAGGAGCATCGTGAATGCTGCGTATGTGAGTCCTGGACACGGACAAACTTTGGGCCGGCAATGCAATAAAAGATGACAGGCCAAAAGTTTTAATGATGCAGCAGCAGTCGTTGAACCAACTTGCCTGCTGCTTCGACGAAAACTTTTAGCTCTGAATAAGTTTATAAGACACAACAAGTTGAGTCCACTCAACTGTTCCAACTGCTTGCGGACATTTGTAGGCGCTACCAAAAAGCAGGAAAAATATTTAAGAAATTACAAATATATTTGCCATATTGCATGCTTAGTTGGACCCTGGCCAAAACACACGAGCCTTACAAAAGCAACCCATGAGTGGATGGGGCATTGCAGCAAGGATAACGCTGTATCCGGCAAGTGTTCACACAGCTGCCTTGGGTTCGTGTTTGTTCTGATGCTGTTGGCTTCCATTTGGGTTAAAAAATGTGTGTCAACTCTGTGGGGGCTGTGGGAGCAAAGTGAAAGTTCATTTTGGCCAGCAGCCGCTGCAGCAAAACTTTTATTTTTTCCGCTTTAAATATGTTTGTGGGTTGTTCATGAAAAGTTCCTTACTAAATGCACCTCAAACACACCCACTCATATACACACAGAGGCAGCTGTTTTGTTTTCAAGTGCAAAACTTGACACCAACTTATGATGGAATTCCATTCCATGGCACACCAGCAATGCCAATGCCGAAAAGAAAGCATCCAAGTAGTAAAAACTTGCGCCAGACAGCCGCAAAAATGTCTAAGACAAAAGAAAGCAAAAATAACGGCTATCCTTGGCACTTGGATTAAAGACCCTTGTAGACATGTGGCTCACGGTTGTGCAGATATGAGGATGCCTTTCAGAATATATATAAAAAATGATGTCGGCGAAGTCTGCTCATTGTTGCATTCAATTTCACAAAATCAATATTCCCTTTTTAATCAATTTCAATGGACTCAAGGTATATAAGAAAAAAGCGTCTGGCAGCAGCAGATACTTTACTCTAACATTCACTTTATTTAGCAACTTAAATTTAAGACTACGAAATGGATTTAACTAATGGTTCCTAGCGGCCATAGAAGCCACCACCACCACCTGAAGCCGATGCTGAAGCGGATGCACTGGCACTGCCGCCGCCGCCGCCGCGATATCCGCCAAAGCCACCGGGATAGCCACCGCCAAAACCACCGGGATAGCCACCGCCAAAACCACCGGGATAGCCACCGTAGCCGCCTCCAAAGCCAGGATAGCCGCCTCCAAAGCCACCATAGCCACCAAATTGTGGCAGCGCCTCCATCACGCTGAAGAGCGCGAATATCGCAACAATGAAAACAATAGCAGCTCGCATTTTATGCTGTGATCTCGAATCGTATCTACTTTGATATGTGCGTGTCCAC